CAATCGCAGTGAAGCTGTTGTGGAGGCTTAGCTATGGGATAGAGACCGAGGCCCCAGGGGGGGGGGCCTGGAGAGGGGGGGCCCAGGGCCCGATGGAAGGGGAGGGCCTCAAGGGTCGCCCTGTCTTCCGTAGCGGTTTTCGGATCAAGCAAGATCGTCGAGCCTGGCTCGACTCGAGCTTGCTGGGGCGCGGCGTCGCGGCGTCCTTGAATGAGCCCGATGGCGCCGCCAAGGATGCAGCCTCCGCCGCCTCCGGCATCGGGGGCTCCGCCTCCGCCGCCTCCGCAGGCAGAGGGGCCGCAGCCATGGTCACCGCCAGTGCCGGTGCCCCACCAGCCCGCGGAGCCTCCTCCGCCGCAGCTGCTCGCCGATCAGCCGCAGCAGGAGCCGCGGCCGCGAGTCGTGCGGCCGCCCCGCAAGAAGGTCAAGAACTTCGAGAGCGTCGGCGGCGAGGGCGGCAAGGGCGACGGCGACGGCGGCAAGGGCGGCAAGGGCGACAAGGGCGAGGGCGGCAAGGGCGACGGCCGCGAGGGCGAGGGCGGCAAGGGCGACTACAACAAGTTCGCCGAGTTCAAGGGCGAGGGCGGCAAGGGCGGCAAGGGCGAGGACAAGGGCTACTACTACAACAAGTTCGCCGAGTCCACCGCCGCCCCGCCGTCCAAGCCGCGGCCGACGTCGCGGCCGCAGCGCATCCAGTCAGTAGCAGCGGCATCATCATCAGCACCAGCGCCATCGTCTTCGGTATCAGAGCAGAAGGCAGCGCCGACGATAGAGGATCTTCGGCAGCTCTACCACTCGGAGGGGATGGGCCTGGGGAGATGGAGACTAGGGAGGGGGGGAGGCGAGGGGTGGGGAAAGGGGGGTGGCAAGGGACAGGGAAAGAGGGGGGGCAGCGAACTAGGGGGGGGAACGGGGGGAGGCGAGGGGAAGGGAACGGGAACGGGGGGGGGATGGGGGCACGGGGATGCGAGGGGAGGGGGGGGAGGGAGGCCCGGACCTTGGAGATGCAAGCGTTGGACAGCGCCATCAAGTCCGCGAACGATCTCGCCCAGCAGGCTGAGACTACTGGAGCACTTCCGAGGCCCTCCAGCTCCTTCTCCTCCACCTCCCACTCCTCCACCGCCTTCTCCTCCTCCCTCCTCCTCCTCCTCCTCCTCCTCTCCTCCTCCCCCTCCTCCTCCTCCTCCCCCTCCCCCTTCTCCTCGTCCTCCTCCCCCATCCTCCTCGCCCTCCTCCTCCTCGCCCCCCCCCTCCCCCCCTTCTCTGCAGGGATCTGGGCAGCAAGGCCAAGACATCCGACGATCGCGAGCAGGCCCTGTTCGACGCCGTCGATGCCGTTGGTGCCAGGCCTCCTCCACCTCGTCCTCCCACACCTCCTCCCTCCCCTTCCCCTCCACGCCGTCGATGCCCTCTTGTAAAGGCTCTTGGGGCTCTCTGGGGACGTCTCGAAGGCCTCGTGAGCCGTCTTGATGCCAAAGTGGCCCGTCTTGGAGCGATATTGGGCCGTGTTGGAGGCTTCTGGGCCTCGGGGGCGCGTATGTCTGGTACAGTCGGGGCCCTGAAGAAGGACCCCTTTTGGTTGGGGAGGGGCCCCGCGTTCCTTAAGTGTTTCGCAGCTTGCCTCAGGCTTTCCTTAGGTTTTCGGTAGGAAATCGAAGGTTAACTCATGGAAAAAAAGGGGCCTCGTTCTTCATTTAGGGTTCCTTAGGTCAAGCCCCCGACTGTATATTGCAAGGCGTTGTGCCCTCGGGGAAAGGAGGCGGAGCATACCCCTGGGCGCGATCCGGGGTGGGGGGGCGGGGGGGGGGGCGGGAGGGCTTGACAATTACCGTCGGGGCGTTGACCTAAGGAACCCTAAATAAGGAACGAGGCCCTTTTTTCCACAAGTTAACCTTCGATTTCCTTTGGGAAAAATTAGGAAAGCCTGAGGCAAGCTGTGAAACACTTAAGGAACGCGGAGCCCCTCCCCAACGAAAAGGGTTCCTTCTTCAGGGCCCCGATTGTACATAGAATCAGGCGGCACTTCGCTTTCTGGCACGCCCCAACTTGCCGGCATGCCAGGGGGCACGGTGGCGGATGACGGGGAGCGCCCTGGCGTGGACCGCTTGTGTCTCGCCATGTGTTTTCGGAGTGATTCGGGTTGCACTCCAGACTTCGCTGGCGGACGACTGGACGCGCGCTCAGAGTCGAAGAGTTGGCTCTGGACGTGGGTTCCGACCCTGGAGGGACATATTCGTCAGCTGGGGAGGTCCAGGAGGGGAATGGCTCGGGGAATCTCCATGGTCAGCGCCTGGCGGATGACGGGAAGTGCGCTAAGACTCGAAGCGTCGCGCGGTGGACGTTGTTTCCGACTCGGAGGAAAATGATATTGATCAGTTGGGCGGATCCAGGGGTGGAATGGCTCGGGATCGCTCAGTGGTCAAGGCCTGGCGGATAGCTCAGAATGGCCACGTCGCATGAGATATCCTGACACCATTGAGATTCACGAGAATCTCTTCTGAGACTCATGCCAGAGGTATCCCCCAAACATGGAATGCGGAAATCGCTCGCGAAATAGGATGCACTCAGAAATTGGGTTTTAGCAAGAGACTTCCCCAACAACAGTGAGAGTTTGGAAGAGCTGTCTTACGACGACATCTTGTGGAGGCTCATATGAAGGATCCACCAGAGGCCCAAGAAGCGACACAATGGAAACATGATTGTTTGATTCCATGCGTCCGTTCAACTGTAAGCGTTTCGCTCGAGGGTCTCTATCGTGCGACATCATCTGGTGCACTTAAGAAGCTTTAGTTGCAGCAGACGCTTGCTGCTGACGGGGTTTGCGCTAGACTCGAAGGAGTTTGCGATGGTCGTTGGCCACAGGCCCACAGGCGAAGTCGGAGGTGAGGGGGTGAGATCGAAGTGGAACGGAGACCCCCCCTACTGGGAAAGCGGTTTCGGTTTCGTGTTCGTGCGTGCCGTGCGTGCGGGCGAGGCGAAGCTGCGTGGGCGGGCGAGAAGAAAGTCTCCTCCAGCTGAAGCGCGGCCAGACCAAATGATTCCTTTCCGGGGTCCAGTGGCCCGTGGTGTCCCGCCAGTGTCCCGCCTCTGGCCGGACCAAATGATTCCTTTCCGGGGGCCGGTGGCCCGCGGTGTCCCGCCTCCGGCTGACGCGCGGCCGGACGAAATGATTCTTCTCCGGGGGCCGGTGGCCCGCGGGGTCCCGCCGGTGTCCCGCCGGTGTCCCGTCGGTGTCCCGACGATGATGATGATGATGATGATGATGATGATGATGATGATGATGATGATGATGATGATGATGATGATGATGATGATGATAATGATGTCGATGATGTTGATGATGATGATGGTGATAATGGTGGTGGTGGTGATAACAATGGTGTCCCGATGATGATGTTGACTCTGTTGGTGATGATGATGGCCATGGTGGTGATGATGATTGTGTCTCGATGATGATGATGTTGATGATGCTGATGTTGCTGATGATGATGATGATGGTGTCCTGGTGATGATGGTGATGATGTTGATGATCCTGATAATGTCGATGTTGATGAGCTGATGAGATGATCCGCATGCTGATGATGTTGATGATGATGATTGAAATGATTATGGTGTCCCGATGATGATGGTGATGATGAGGTTGATGATGATGCTGTTGACGATTCTGGTGGTTATGATGATGAAGTCTCGATGATGATGATGTTGATGATGATGACGATGATGGTGTCCCGATGATGATGATGATGATGTTGATGGTGAGGATGATGACGAGGTGATGATGGGGTTGATGATGGTGGCCCGATTGCGATGTTGTGGCTGCTGATGGTGATGATGATGATGGTGTCTCAATGATGACGGTGTACCGGCAATGATGATGTTGTTGATGATGATGTGACGATGATGGTGTCCCGATGATTATGATGATGGTGATGATGATGGTGATGAGGTGATGATGATGGTGTCTCGATGATGATGCTGTTAGTGACGTTGATGACGATGATGTTGTTGATTATGATGATGATGATGACGTTGATTGTGAGATCGATTGTGATATCGATAGTGAGATCGATAGTGAGACCGAAGGTGGGATTGATTGTGAGATCGATTGTGAGATCGATAGTGAGGTCGATTGTGAGATCGATTGTGCGATCGATTGTGAGATCGCTCGAATGAAATAGATCGAGTGAGATCGATTGTGAGATCGATCGAGTGAGATCGATCGAGCGAGACCGATAGTGAGATCGAAAATGATATCGACAGCGAGACCGATCGAGTGAGACGTTGGTTCCTCCCCCCCACGAACTCCTTATCACCCGGGGGCGCTCGTATAGGTATTTATCAAGTGGAGGGGTCCAGGGGAGGAGTGGTGGCGGGATCGTTTCATGGCCCTGACGTGGCAGATGAGGGGAAGCCCGCTTAGACTTGAAGAGTCGCGCGATGGACGTTGTACACAGGCCCAGAAGGGAAACATTTATCAAGTCGAGGGTCCAGGGCAAGCAGTGGTGGCAGGGTTCCTCCGTGATTCACGACCTGGCGGATGACGGGAAGCGCGCTTAGATTTGAAGAGTCTTGCGATGGACGTTGCACACTGGCCCGAAGGGGAAATATTGATCAAGAAGGGGGGTCCAGGAAAACGTAGCGGCGGTGTAGCTCCTCCGCCCTGACGTGGAAGATGACGGGAAACGCGCTTAGACTAGAGGAGTAGTGCGATGGACGTTTTGTTTCAGGCCCGGAGGGGAAATATTGCAAAGGCTTGACGGCCGGTGCTGCCGACCCTGATGGGGGACGACAACGACAACGGAGGCGGCGGCGGCGACGACGACGACGCTGACGTGGGCCAGAGGGATGCTTCTTAGGGTCACTTCGGAATCAACGCATCGGCCCCCCGCCAATTCGTCGTCGATCACCCCGCCCAGGAGCGGGCGGGTTCCCCATCGGGGTGCTTGTCGCCGATGCATCGGCGATGCATTGCTGATTTTAGCTCGACGACTCCTCCTCCTCGGCGTCCTCCTCCTCCTGCTCCTCCTCCTCCTCCTCCTTCTCCTTCTCTTTGGTTCCTCGCGTTCCTGGGTCCTCGTCGCCGCCGTCCTGCTCGGGCTCCTCACTCCCTCCTTCCCATCGGCTCACCGTCGGCCTCGCCCTTCTGCCGAGCCTCGGCCTCTGGCCGAATAATGGCACACCCGATACACTAAAAGGATTCACTCGCTTGACGCCACTTAGCTTGACATCAGAGCATCCCGATGGCTGGGCTTGCCGTTGGTGGCTACATCCTCGCGCTTCTGCAGCTCCTGCCTGGCCCCGCAGTCGGCGTCCAGAAAGTCGACAGCGTCATCGAGAAGATCACCAAGGAGAAGTTTGACATCGCCCACGAGAAGTTGACGAAGGAGAAATTCGACATCTCCCAGGAGAAGGTGACCAAGGAGAAGTACGAAATTGCCCACGAGAAGCTGATCAAGGAGAAATATGACAGGAAGGAAGGGAGGACTTCGGGGAGGACGACCAGGCTGACGAAGGAAGGGTTGCTCGAGCAGAGCGGAGATAAAACCGACCTCGGCAATATGAACAGGGCGGGCGTCATCCATTACAAGCGCTCAACCTTTAAGAAGACCACGGGGCAGGGTGGCAAACTATTCTGGCCTGATTCTGTCAATCGGGAAGGTCAGCTCTACTCTGGCGCGACAGACTTCACTGAGAACCTCTCCTGGGGTTGGCACCACCCGAGCGGAGTGTACAACACTATCCCGGTCGGCAGCCCCCTCATTGACGACGATCGAAATATCTACCTCGGAGCCGATGATGCTATCCGGAAGTTCGACGTCACCGGCATCCTCAAGTGGAGCTACGCCCCCAGAGGGCAACTCGCAGCAGCACCCACACTGTGCATCGCCACCAGCAGGCGCCAGGCGGCCGCTGAGATCGACGACGAGATGGAGGAGGACGAGCTGCGGCCAGACTGGGCTGTGGGCAACGAGTCGATGCAGTCTTCCAAGTTCTTCAGAGAGTTCAAGGTCGGCGACCTCGTCAAGGTGAAGCCAGGCTCGAGCTACCGGGCGGACGGGAAGGAGCTCTACAAGGCAGGCGACCAGGGACTGATCTCTGGCGTCGTCACGGGCGAGGAGGGCAGGGACAGGGCCGTCATCCAGTGGACGCGCACCGGGCATAAGAGCGTGGTGCAGCTCCGTGCCTTTAGCAACCGTTTTGTCCGGGTGGCGCCGAAGCAAACGGCGGCCACATCGTCTTCCATGCTCGTAGGGAGCACCACTGCCGGCTACGTGTTCGCACTCGACCTGGCAACTGGAGATGAGCTGTGGGCAACCTGGGCCTCAAACGAGATCGCTGGTGTCAAAGGGGCTGTGGCTTGCAAGGGCGGGATCGTTGTGGTCGCAACCGATCGCTGCACTGACCGCTACTGCTACAGGTACCGCAACCAGACCAATCCTCTAACGCCGGGCAATCAGGTGGTACGGGGCCTCAGTGCAGTTGACGGCAGTGCTGTCTGGGCGTATCGGACAATGGCGCCCGTGTGGAACATGGTCCCGCTGTGGGGACCAGGCGACACCGTGATGTTTCAGGACTGGGAGGGTAGGCTGTATTCCCTGGATTACTTGACTGGGGAGCTCCACTACAAGGTCGGTGGCGACATCGGGACACACACCAACGCAGCTGCCGTATACGACGCCAGTTGGAACATGGTGTTCGCACTGGGCATGGTGCACTACAACGTGATGAACTATCACATGGAAGACGCACTCGGCATCCCAACGGGTAAATACTGCAATCCCTACCCCGCACCTGGCATTTTGATTAATTGCTGGACGTGGCCAGGTGGACGGGGGTTTGTCCGTGGCTACAATGCCAGCTCTGGCAGGAACGCTTGGGAGCGGCTCACGCCAGAGCCTCCGGCTTCTGGCGCCGTCGGCATGCTCAACGGCCACGGCTCCATCGGCGTCGGCGCACACTCCCGCTTGGTGGTCACCATGGCTTTCAATTGCTGGGTCAACTCGCCCTCCCAGATCTGGTCCCTGGATCCGAACAACGGCGACGTTCGGTGGATGAGGGACGGCCCGACGCTATGGACCAACTTCTGTGCTGGCGACAAGGAGGGTGCCGACATCCGCAGGGCCATGGGCGGCCGCGCCGCGTGCAAGCCGAACAGTTGGTCCACACCGGTGATCGATTCGGCGGGCGACGTATATGTCGGCAATCAGGTCGGCGTGCTGTCGAGGTACGGCGCGCCGAACGGGGGTGGGTCCAGGGACGTCCAGGTGCTCTCAACCTTGACAACTGGCGTGGCATTCCAGGATGCAGCCATCGCAATCGCCGATGGGCTCATGGCCGTGTCCACATGCACTTCCCTCATCGTCTTCCAGACCTACGCAGATCAGCTCCCGAACGGGACCGGGTCAGTCTCGCACGCCGACTACACGCCGAGCGACGGAATGGTCCACGGCGACGAGGCGAGCCACGAGATCAGTGAGACTGCGCACGATCACTGGGCCGATCCTTTCAACGCCCGCTAGTCGGCAGGTCATGACGAGGACGTGAGCCACGAAATCAGTGAGGGTGCGCACGATCATCCATGGGCTGGTGGGCCAGTGTCCCGTCTGGCTGGGTCAATCCTCGGGACGTCTGGTAGGTGACCAGTCATAGCGTCGCATCTTCCGAATTGGCGCAAGCCAGCTGCGTCAGTGGGTCACGTATGACCAGGCGCGCCATGGACAACATCTCGGCCTGGCTATGAGAAACGCTCCTTTTGAGTGATGACCATGACATTGTGGGGTAGTGGATCGAAACCCTGGGCAAGAGCGGGGGACCTGGCAGGCATCCCTGCCAAATCGCCAACGTGTCATCGAAGACACGAGCGGCAAATCACCATCCCACCATGGCTTTTCGTCAATGCTTACGTGGCCAGGCGTTGGCCCATTGAGCATCTGGGGCCTTTTGACCACTTCCTTGGAGCGTCTCGCAACTCTGGGTTAATGTGGCCTCTCGAAGGGCTCTCGTGGGTTGGGATTTGTGTTTTGGCATCATTTGTCTAGGTTATGTGGGGCTTCTATTCAGTGTATCGAAGGCCGTCTTGGTGGCATCTTGACGCTATCAAGGACGCCTACGGCGAATCACCGCCGCCCCCTGCCTTTCATCATACGCCTGTGTGGCCAAACGTTCGGGCCAAGTTTGGCCACGCTATTGAACCATGCGTTCCCCAAGCCATTGTAGGTGCCTTTCGGAGAACACATGGGGGAGAAAGAGGAGGATGAGGAGATGGAGGGCAAAGGATGATGAGAAGAAGGATGAGGAGACATCGTGGGAGCTCCTTGGCTCGTTTTTGGCGCCTCTTGGGAGCTTCTTGGGGGCATCATGGAGGCCTCTTTGGGGAAACCTTGGGCCTCTTGGGGACCTTTGGGAGCTTCATGGGGGCCTCTTTGGCCGTCTTACGGCCTTCCTGGCCCGTCGGGAGCCGTCTTGGGAACCTCTCTGGGCCGTCTTGCAGCCTTTTCGGGTATTGAGGCATCTTTTGCCGCTTGGTGACCTTTGGGAGCCTTTCTGAAAGCTTCTTGGGCTGTCCTGGGGCCATCTTGGAGGCCCCTTGGGCGATCTTGGGGCAATCTTGGGGGCATGTTGGGCCGCCTTGGGCCGTCGGAATGCAGTTTTGATTCAACTGCTAAAATCCTTCAAACATCGATGAACAATCAATGATGTTGGCCTCTTCGGGCCTTCCTAGAGGACCCATTGGAGGCCTCTGAGGCCGTCTCAGGGGCCTCCTGGGCGCTTCTTGGGCCGTCTTGGGCTCTCTTCGACCATCTTGGCGGTCATGGAGGCATCTTGGGCCCGTCTTGGTTGCCAATTTGGATCTATCTTGGGCTCTCGTCGGGCCAAGTTGCCAGTCTTGGATGCATCTTGGAGGCTACCCTGGAAGCAACGTCTTCGAACAACCGTTTGCGTTCCCAGTACTTCTTCTGAGCAGCAGGTGCTCCGCCCGAAACATAATCAAACATAAAATCTGACAGGCTTTATAACAGATCAAGCTCGGGTGAAGATACTGGTGGTGCTGTTGCTGCTGTTGCTGCTGATGGTGCTGATGGTGATGGTGATGATGGTGATGATGATGTTGATTATGATGGTGGTGATGACGATGATGATGATGGCCATGATGGTCGTGATGATGGAAGTGGTGATCGTCCTGGTGAACATGATGCTGGCGATGATGCTAGTGTAGATCATGACGACGGCGGGACAGTTGAATGACTGCAGCACGTTTGGCAGCCACGCGAACTTGTGGGCCTCATCCCAGGGTGAGGACGAGCTGCCTTCGGCGGTCAGGACCAAGATCAGTTGCACTTTTTTTCCCTGCGCCGGTTCAGCTCCAAGTCTGAACTTGCACGGGTGGTGGGCTCCACTTGATCTCCCCCGTGGACGTCGGGAAAGCTCGCCTAAGCTGGAGTTGATTTCAGTGCTGGTGCACGTTCTTGTCAAGCTCTTCGATGCCACGCGCTTCCAGTTCGTGCCAGGCAAGGTTCCTCAGAATCCGCGTTTCGCCTGAGACATCCGCACAGAATGCTTGCCGACGTCGCTTCTTCAAAGACATGCCTTCGCCCGCGACATTCCCAACACTTGGAGATGCCGAATTCGTTTTCGACTTTCCCTCATCCAGAAATCGGGCATTCGCCTGAGACACTCTCAACACATAAGATGCTGGATGAGCTGTGGCACTGCATCGTTTAAGGGCTTCCTTGGAGGACCCCCCGGATAGCCCGAGAAGCGAATTTATCGAAGAACCAACGGGGTTTTCAATTCTTTCGTTCAACCTCACACGCTTCGCCTGGTGCATCTTCACAAAAAGTCTTCGCACAGGCAGAATGATGAACACTCCAATTCTTGTTACATGTGTTCAAAAAAGACGTGTTTCACTCGAGACAGAGTCGCACTAACAAAGTATTGAGGGTCCTCAGCGGTATGCTGTGCTGATGAAGATGATGATGCTGATGCAAATGCCGATGTTGCTGATACGAACGGTGCTGTGTAGGATGACGACGGTGAGATTGCTGGCGATGTTGACGGTTGCGGGGCGGATGGCGGTCACGATGACGATGATGACATGGAGGACGAACAGTAGCAGGGTCCCCATAGTGCGGCATCATCCATTGCACTTTTGATTCCTCCGAGGGCTTCGCGGCTTTTCCATTCTTGCGATTGTTCCTGCGCCTGCTGTCGGTGGAGGGAGCAGGCGACGGGGGCGAGGAGGCGGAGCCAGGGGCGAGGAGGCGGAGGAGCACGAGTGGCAGCAGGAGGACCAGGACCAATGTCAGGGCCGGGTCATTATCCACATCGGTCCAGCGCACCGTCTGAATTGTCGCGGACCGTGAAGTCTACATCTTACTTTTGGTTGATTTTTTCGGGGTGGGCGCGCGCTTACGGCACAGTGATCTTGATGTTGTGGTCGGACGGTTTTGCACAGCTGCTCGATTCTGCGCGTCACCTGTTCATCATGAACATGGCAAATCAGCTGCCTCAGGGGGTCCGGACCAAGACAAAAAGCAGGTTGTACTACCCGCGCCAGTTCAGCTCCGCGTCTGAACTTGGGCGGGCAGCTTCCTCCACCTGCTACCCCTTTCGAGTGCTCGGGAAGAGTGCACATGCTGCATATGATCTCAAGGTCGATGTACGTTCTTCTCGAGCTCCTCGACGTCGCGCGCGTCCCGTCCATGTCGGGACAGGTTTCTCGAAAACGGCAACTGGGAGCCGGTGGTAAACCGTCAACCAGGTTACCGCTGGGACCCTCGTAGAGCTCTCAACACGCAAGGAAAGGCTTAGATTATGAGGAGAAAGTTTCCTTGCAACTCAGCTATAAATAACACTTGCAACATGCATGCTTTCGGTTTTATACAAAGTCGGTGCCGCCAAGTGTTTTGACAGTGATACCTCGCTCATTGATGCCGAAGAGCTCTGCGAGGTACTCCGCTCGGGGCATCCTCGCATCGGTGCCTTCGGAGGGGGCTCCGCATCGGGGCTCCTTCCGCGGGGGCCCGCGGTGGCCCGCCGGGGCCCCTATAGAGGCCCCCCCCGAACGCCCCCCAAGACGAGGGCCCCGGGAGGCCCCCAAGAGAGCCCCACGAGGAGGAGAAGGAGGAGGAGGAGGAGGAGCAAGGAGCAGGAGGAGGAGAAGGGTGAGGAGGAGGAGAGGGAGGAGGAAGAGGAGGAGGAGGAGGAGGAGGAGGAGCAGGAGGAGGAGGAGGAGGAAGGGCAGGAGGAGGAGGAGATGAGGGAGGAGGGAGGAGGAGGAGGAGGGAGGAGGACGAGGAGGAGGAGGAGGAGGAGGAGGAGGAGGAGGAGGAGGACTGGGCTCTCCCGACCCCGGGTTCGGGAGGCGGCTCCGCCGCCGCCGCCGCCTGTGAATTTCGGGGCGCGGGGCCCCTGTCGTGGCCAGGGGGGCCGGATGCCATCACGAGGACCCCCCCCCTCTTCTCCGACGTCCTTATCCCTGCCGTCCTCCGTCGTCGTCGTCGTCGTCGTCGTCGTCGTCGTCGTCGTCGTCGTCGTCGTCGTCGTCGTCGTCGTCGTCGTCCGCCCTGTTCCTGCTCGTACTCCTCCTCCTCCTCCTCCTCCGTCTCTTCCCCTCCTTGCCCCTGCGTCCGCGGTCCCACTCGTGGTCCTGCTCCCCGCGCGGCCCTCCCTGCCAGCAACGCCGTCGTCCTCATCCTCCGCCGCCTTGTCGTCGCCACCATTCTTTTCTTCTCTGCCCCCCTCCGAGTCAAATGGACGACATCTGCGCTTCCCGTTCTCGTCCGATCAGGGTTGAAAGCCTCCTAAAGTTCTCCACCTCCTCGCCGGCTACAGTCAAGCCGCATAGGAAGGATGAGCGATTTGCCGAGGCTGCAGTCAAGCCGCATAGGAAGGATGAGAGGCATTTCAAGGCTACCCTTTCATCCTTCCCCATTCGGCCCATCATGGGACGCTTTTGCTGGCCAAGCCCCGCCCGCCCGGACAAGAGAGACAGGAGAAGCGGATGATGACGTGCTCATGATGACGATGAGGATTTTGGTGATGGCGATGGTGGTGATGATCATGGTGATGTTGACGAGGGTGGAAATCATGATGCTGGTCGTGATGCGATTGAGGATGCTGCTGTCGATGAAGAAAATGATGGGGGGCGGCGATGGAGGAGGAGGCAGGAGACGGAGGAGCATATGGACATCGATCAAGCAGAACAGGTTAGAGTGACAGCAGTGGCCGTAGTGGTAGCAGTGGTAGTCGGAGGAGGTCACGAGGAAGAGGAGGAGGAGGAGGAGGAGGAGGAGGAGGAGGAGGTGACGAGGAGGAGGAGGAGGAGGAGAAGGAGCAGGATGAGGAGGAGAAGGGTACCCCGGAGGTGGACTGCGCCTGGGAGCCCTGGTCCGACTGGGGGCCGTGCAGCCTGGGCTGCGGCGGGGGCCAGCACAACCGCAGGCGGGCACCCGCTGCCGCAGTGGCACGACCATTTCATCACGGGTTGCCACCCTCGGGGGGGAAGGCGGGTGAGGGTGGGGAGTCATGCGATGGGAAGGAGGGAGGAGGAGGAGGAGGAGGAGGAGGAGGAGGAGGAGGAGGAGGAGGAGGAGGAGGAGGAGGAGGAGGGAGAGAGGAGGAGAAGGAAGAGGAGGAGCATGAGGAGGAGCAAGAGGTCGAGGAGGAGGGGGAAGAGGAGGAGGAGGATGAGGAGGGGGAGGAGGAGGAGGACGAGGAGGAGGAGGAGGAGGAGGCGGAGGAGGAAGAAGATAATGAGGAGGAATGTATGGAGCGGTGAAGGGTGGGCAAGGGAGGAGGAGGAGGAAGAGGAGGAGGCGGAGGAGTAGGAGGAGGAGACGTAGGATGACGAGGGGGGGGAGGAGGGGCGAGGAGGGAGGAGGATGGAGGAGTCGAAGGGGCGTTTCATCACTCTTTCTCCCAATGCTGAAGCCCCGAGTTGTGAAGGCCAGCGAAGCGCAGCAAA